TGTGTGTGTGTGTGTGTGTGTCCGTGTGTGTCCGTGTGTGTCGGTGTGAGCGGATGTACATTCAGACCCAGCAGTCACAATTTGTGTGGCAAGTGGTAAGGGCTTATTCTTCGGCGACACTTCACGCACGTGCACATCATTCTGTGGAGGATCTCAGATGGTTGTGGGTTCAAACCCGCCCACTGACGATTGACTTGTGAGGGAAAGCCAGCTGTTACCTTCTGATAAAATAGAGTAGTGATCGTTGTTTGTGTTATACAGTTTTACAGCACTTGCAACGCGGGTAGGTCATAAAAGTGCCGAGAATTTGAAGTGTATCCAAGCAGGTTGCAGTTGTTTTAAGCTCCTTGACTGTGTGTTAGTAGTGATCGTTGCTTGTGTTATAGAGTTTTACAGCACTTGCAACGCGAGTAGGTCACATAAGGGCCCAGGATTAGAAGTGTATCTTAGTATAGAAGTGATCGTTTTTTTGTGTTATAGAGTTTTACAACGCTTGCAAGACGGGTAGCCCACAACGGTGCCGAGGATAAGAAGTGTTGCTTTTGGGAGTAACAAGCGTAAAGAAGAAGGAGAGATAAAGACGAAAGATTGACGTTTATACTATAGGAAAGAAAGGACAGATCACAGCAGAGCACCCACAAATCACCTGCCAGTAGTTACTTTTTCTAGTTCGGTGAGTTTATCTGAGGGATAGAGAACGAATAGAGTGGGCAGCAGAAGAAAAGATCAAGAAAATATCACAGACGTGTTTTTAGTTTTAGTGTTAGTAAGGTTTAATGGCACTCGCAACTGCATAAGGTCATATGAGCGCCAAGTGGTGGATTTCAACAGAGAAGTCCATACAGGGAATCAGGCTTAACCTGCTCACTTCTCTAGCTTTAAATGCACGAAGTCTGCATCGACTGTCAAGGCACCCGTGAAATATCGGGTCACAAGAGAGTGACAAACGTGCAAAAGAAGTAGAGGGAAAATGATGATAGGAAGGATGAGGAAAGAAAAAAGCAGCAGTTCCCCCTATGTAGTTCAGGCACAGTTATGAGCATGACCTTGATAAGTAAGTCCATTTACTATTCTACCGTGCATTTTAATATCCCCCGTGTGAGAATGGCACTGCCTTGAGGTCAGAGAGGTGTTCGTCCTGGTCACTGGGGGGAGGGGAGGGGGGTGTCCCGGAAACTGATAATATGGAATGTAAAGCGTGTGGGAGGGAGGGGTAGAGGGGAGGATTAGGGTGAGTAAAGGTTGGGAGAGGGTGGGGAGGGGGAGGATGAGGGTGAGTAAAGATTGGAAGAGGGTGGGGAGGGGGATGATGAGG